TTTATGTTACAATACGTTAAGTTACTAAATCAGTGCTAAAATCACTAGATGGAAATATTTGTTAAATTTGAAGAAAACGACATTACCTACTGTACTACTAAGTACCCCTAATGCATAGGGTACCCCTAATACATACATATATCCGCGATATATCGTCGTTAAAACCGGCAAGGATAATTATCCGCTTGTGATGTCTCGGAGGGGTGAAGAAGCTGATGAAGGCCCGCAGGAAGGGTAAAGTCGGAGTAAAATCTTATCATCGATATCCACCGGGACTCCAAGTGCCAGGTAAACAGACTCGTATTTGAGATTTCCCATGCGAGGTTGACAGAGTAAGGGAACGTGGCGGAAGAACGGACGAAGAAAGAGGAAAAGTGCTAGGGGGATAACTGAAACGCGCGAGAGAGAAAGAGAGAAATTTCTTCTCCCTCTTTTGAGACTTGAGGGGACAGACTGGATGGCAGAAGGACGTGGAAGAGGGGAAAGTGGTGGAGCGAGTGGCCCCATGTTCGTAGACGGAACGATGAGAACGAATAAAACCGACCGGATGTCCCTTAAGAGATCTTCATCGAGAGAGCCTTTCGTACCTAATGCTGCGAGTCCGAATCGGGCACGACATTTTCTACAGTTTCTACCGCTGTTCCTTCATATTTCTTCTATCCCGAAATCTCACCGATTCTCGAGCGGTCTCGGAATAAGTACACCGGTGTAATCAATCTGATCGATGAATTTGATCTCGCGATTGCTTCGAAATCGAACTACATTTCGATCGAGCACCTCTCCCTGTTTTCTTCCTCGCAGAAGCAGAATCATAATAACCTCTCGATCGTTTTACGATTAATTACATCGAACATTTTTCGTGAATCTTTCTTTTGTTTTTTTTTTTTTTTTTTCTTCTTTTTCTTCTTTACAGGAACAATCGATCGATGACGCGAAATACAACTGACTGCAAACGAAGCTACAGCTTTACACATTGAATAATAGGTGGAGGGTGGGTGGGGGGGGACACGCTCGCGTCGTGGGAATACCGTATTTATTCCGTGTGTCAGTATTATTAATTGAAAATCCCCCATGCTTCCTGACCCGGCCAGTGCTCCACATTTTCGTGGATTGCTCGAAATAATCTCACGCCGGTAATTCTCCCGTGGAAACAGTATTTCCTTTCATC